TATTTATCTGTGGGTACTGCAAACCACTGCTTGCCTTTCCTTTTTATTCTATTTTGAAAGTGACGTGAGGTGCTGATTGAAGAAGGTGCAATGCTCCCATAGATATAGGCATGACGTGATATCAAGCAGTATGAAATACCGAGTGTACGTTAAACAAGAGCCAATGCTAGACACAATACTCATTGAATCAGTGAGACTAGCTCTCTGTTCAATCCCAGAGATGCCTCTGCGCCATACACTGCATAGAGCTTTTCAAGTTAAATTCCAAGCCAACAGGAATATCTGCATTAGCCATAAGAAAGGAATATGGTGACTAACAGAAAAACCTGCATTGATACTATGGAGCCAGCCCAAAATGCCAGTGCTTTAAACATTTTACTGTCTTAAGAATTAGACTGATTATTGATCCTCACATGCCCCTTTAGAACAGCCACAAGAGTTTTGTAAGAATTCCCTCCCTTCCAAAGTTTTCTGCCTGCAGATCAGATTCTTAAACTGCTGGCTGGCTCTTGTTCGTTAGCATTCAGCCAAACCCTATTCCTACCAAGGTCATTAACACAGTGCTACTTCCCAAACTTTTTTTGTTGCACTTCTCTGGAATTTCTCTGTCTTTGACAAAGTGGACATCTGCTTGTATGTTTCTTTCAAGTTAGTAGGGGACATTCTGTAAACTTCAAGGTAGCTTTGCACAACACAACTGCTACAGTGTTTTGTGGGTACTGCTTTACCACCAATACCAAACATTCCTGTCAGTGGCTTCTGACAACATGAAGATAAAGCATATGGTAGGATCTAATCTGCTTGGCTAACAGGCACACATAAAACTGCCTCTCATGGTGGTTTACTCCTTACAATGGCTGAATTGTATGATGGAGCCAATATGTACCAGTTCCAAATTTCTGGAAGTCACCCTAGCAAGACACCCTTACTGGGCCTCCAAGGAAATTGAGGTGTTGGTTGGCCTCCTCCCACAGTATACCCACCCCTCCATGGCATGAATAAATGGGTAGCTGCTACTACCTCCCTGCTACCAGCTGCCCCCCCTTCCCTGTTTACCATGGGATGACAGAAGGTAGAGTGTTTATGGGAGTGGGGTCAGGAAGCAGTGGCTGGCTTGGCCAATATATTTTAACCAGACTGAAGATGTACAGCCACTAAGGGCCAGAGTGAAAGCACTGCCCGAGGTGCTATAGCAACAGATGCATGATGGCAGGAACTGATCTGATTGCTTGGATGATGGGTATGCTGCCCGACTTGGACAAACCAGGGAAAATCAGTCCTCTTGTTTTGGTAACAGGAGATGCTGTGATGGGAGGCAGGGAGCATTTGAATGTCCCTGAGACTCTTGAGCAGGTAGGAATCCAAACAGTGAGAGTTAAGTAGGTAGGTGGTGATAGCTAGTAGCAGTGGTGGTAGGAGAGGACTTCATCTGGCAGTGAGCACTCTGCCAGTACAAGCCCCCCCCCCGCCCCCAGGCTACAAGTCACTAACCTCTGTGTTTTAAATTTTACCTCCTAGCCCAAACATGCCTTAAAACGTGTTTTTAAGAATATTTTTAAATGAACAGATTCAAGAAACCAGAACTGGAATTTTTTTCTTCAATCTGCAAATGTCTCCATGAGCAAGAAGCAACCAAAAAATCCACAGCCAAATGTATATCACATTGGATGTACATTCTACTGAAATTTCACTAGCCATAAAAAGAGATATTTATAAATTCATTTTAACAAAATAAATTGGTACAACAAAAAAAAAAATATCAAAATTAGAACATGAAACAAAACCAAGAACATGCGCTATAGTGTCTTCTCATATCTGCACCTATAATTTCCTCACAAAAAGTTCTGATTTATGTCTGCATACATGATACTAATGCTTCTGAATTTTATTCCTCATTAGTATGAACAGAAAAAGACATTCAAACAGAAAAAATTGTTCAAGTAACAAAAAGGGCTTTTCTAGATGTGGAAATATGATAGCGAAACAGGAAAATTACTAGCCATAGCATTGTCACTAGACATATTGTCATGGTTTTTGTACAGTGAACAAGTGATGGTATAATCATAGAACCAAGAAACCCTTGACATAGCACTGAATGGGGCCAACTTTTTCCCCACAGTCTGCCTACCCTTAAAGAAAGCCAACAAATTACTTCAGTTCTTTTACCTGTAGGTTGGCATTTGCCATTGCTGTCACGTATGTTATTCAAACAACATTCAATAAAAAATATTGGGTTGTTTGGAATGATTCTGCGTGCTAGTTGTAGGTTTAAATTTGGGTAGGCCAGCATTTTAAGCCAAGATCTTGAGACCTGCACGATAAGCTCCATATATACATCAGGGTTTGCTTCTCACTAATAGCAGTCTCTCAGTGTTTGACCAATCACTTTTTAAAATTCTGAGGTGTTTCAGAAGTGGTTTCTGATTCAGTAAAAAAGCTGTTGTTATGGAGAAGAGAAACTCTATTGCGTATATTGGCAATGGTGCCTCTGTACAATAGCTCTCTGGCACCTGGGCTTAAACTACAAGGGAACCCACTGATGTGGATTTATTCTAGTTCTACTAAGCAGTAAGTTTAGATTCTGCTTTGTACAACATGGATACAGAAGGGAAAACCATGCTATGCCTTCAGTTACAGTATTATACTCCTCTTCCTGAAACTTCATTAACATGTATATTTGCTCTTATGAAATGTGACTGTCAAGAAACTATTCAGCAGAAGTACTAGTAGCTCAATGACTTTTAATTCTTGGCTGATCTACTGTGCTTCACAATTATTATTGTAAGAAAGAGATGAAGTTTTCCACTTCTGAGGAAGCAAAATACTGAATTATCTCTAGTGCCTGCAAATACACTTCAGATAAACTGAACATTAGAAAACACTATTTCTCCCCACCCTGTGTACTGTTTAACACTGTGCAAAACAAAACTTCTATATAAGTGGGTCACTGAGATCAATATTAATCCAGCTGCTATGAAGTGAAACAAAGCATATTCTACTGAAACAAGCCTAGAACATTGGCTTTTTAAAAAAGCCACACAACTTTTCTGCACTTAGGCCATGCACTTTCATATATTTTGCTTCTGTCATTTTTCTCTTATGCCTTTGTTTTAGCTCATAAACAAAGCAGGGTATGCTTTTAAATATATCAAAGTTAAGAATTAGGAATGCTGTCACTTGATGTCAGCTAAATTTCACTCATGTAGACAAAAGCAGAAGTCGAGTGAAGTTGATGAATGCTGGGTGAGGAATGTAGTAGAAGATACCTGCTACATATTTCAGCTGGCTTTCAACCATTTTTTTGCTTTTTGAGATTATTTTTTTAAAGTCTAAAGCAAAGGCATATGAAAGCCAGATAGGCAACGCCAATACTTATTTATGTAATCAAAAGCAAAGAGAGGCAAGCCAAAACGATTCTCAGATATTTAGGTTACTTTGCATGTAGTCCTGATTCAAATATGTTAGAACATATAGAATTTTATGGGAAGTACATCAAAATGACTTTTAGGAGTAGATTTATGCAAAGTTAGCAGAGATTTACGAAAGGAATTTTAAAATGAGTATGTGGTCAAACCAAAATAGAAGTAGGAGACTTTACATGAGCTAACACAAATCAATGACACAGGCTATCTTTAATATTTTTCTTTTATCTTCATTTTACTGTTAGGTTCCCATTCTTCTAGCAGAATTCAAAATAATCAAGATTTATCATTGGTGACAAGATCCCAATAAGGTCTCTTCTGAGAGAGTCAGGAAAGACATCTGTAATCTAGGCTGGATTTTATGTCACGGGAATGTTAGGTATTTGCAGGTATTTGATTAGAATGTGCAAGCTAAGTCAGGCCCCAAAAGAAGGGACAGGATTTCTCTCTCTGAAGACTGGCAGAATCCAGAGCCACACTTAAAAAAAAATATGTATATTGTTGTTCATAGGGAAGGGGGGGAGACTGAAGGGGTACATTAGATCACTATTATCTCACCAATTTACAATGACTACAGGGTAGTTTTTTTTTGGAGGGGGGGGCAACCACCATTACATTTTTAGAAGATGATGTTCCAGCTGGTTAGCCAGCATTTAGCTTAAGAGGCAGTAGATTAGTGCAAAACAGAAGTGCTTTTGGGACATACCAAGCATTCTAGTTTGGCCCCTCCAGCTGCTGATTAGTGCTCAAGATTTATCATTTTCCTGTTCAGCAATTTCATATTCTGCATAATACTTCAATGCTCCTTTATAGTGCATTCTGCTTTGTGTAAACATTATAGTCTAACAGTCAGGGGGTTCAAGGTGGCACTGAAGTTGGGGTGCAGCCAGAAAATATCCAGATGTCCCAACTCCCTGGCATGCACTTCAAATACTACACAGAAAAAGGAAAAACCTCACTCATGCTGAATCTATTTTTCCTTGCTGCCTAACCAGAGTTCTAGCTCAAGTATAGTGTTTGGAAATGGTTTTAAAGAATCAAGGGCATAACGCAGAGTCAAAAAAAGTCAAATACAGCATTTTAGGAGCACAGAAGTTCTCACAGTCTTGAATATCCAGTTCTCACTATTTGCTATAATTTCGTTACTGATGCTACGTATAATCCAGATGAATCTGACCATGGCAGAACATGAAGAAAAGCTGTTTATGTACTGATAGACTCTACCATTCTATATCTTGTATAGTTCCACTGAATTCAGGTACGCAAATATTTGTTTTTATGGTAGGCCCACAATGAATTCCAAGGGCAAGTATACAACCTGTTGCAATGGAATTAATTTAGGGTGCAATCCAAATGCATTACTAGCTTTGTAGACTGCACTCCCTAGTTTTTGGTTTAGCAAGCCATTGAGAAAAAAACCATTGCACTTTTTTCCCAAAAAGAAACAAATGTTTTCAAATAGAATATTTCATTGTTTAGCATCTTACAAACATGCCAAATGCCAGCTTCATTCTGGTTTACATTCCAAAGCTTAGTGTCTTTTAAAAACAAAATTATCTGATATCCTTGGAAGAAAGAAAATGTGTTTTTAAAAAAGTAACAAGGGGGGAGTGGTGCAGTTACATCAGGTTAGGTTAGCGTTTTGAGAAGTACATAAGAAAGTTTTAACTTTTATCATTTTTCTCTTCAAGTTTTGGCAAGTGTGCGGTTGCAAATGCAATCTTTCCCCATAAGTGCTCAGTCCAGCAACAAGCGAAGTTTTGGTGGCTTCAATTTGGTTTCTTTAACATGAAGACCTGTAGTGCTGTTGAAACCAAAACTTTGTTATTGTTGGTAAAGTATAAAGCAATATTTCTTTGAGGATTTTTCTTTTAAATAAGAACCTGAAACTCTCCCCATAATTCCTTTGGTCTCCTCTCACCAAATCCATTGCTACATCAAGACAAGCCCTCATTTGTAAGTTTGTCTAACTTGCAGCAAAGCTGCTAAAATTAACAGGGAGAAAAAGCTTCTGTAGCAGAGACTATTCCCCCAATTTCCTGGAGCTTAAGACTGAAAGACGTTATCAATACCTCGGAAAAATCAAAATCCAAGTAGAAGTTCCGCTGATGGTGCCTGACAAAAGGTCTCTCTCCATGGTTTTGTTCTTGGGTTTTTGTGTGTGCATCTTTAGAGAGTTTACTTGTTCCCTACAGGGAACACAAGAATCTCCATATATAAAAACACAGCTGATCTTCAGGTAGCACCAGGGCACCTATCCCAAAGCTGATACCTTGTTGCTGCTAGGTCTCCGATTCACATTCATCAAATCGCTTTTTGTGCAAAACAAGCAGTCTAAGGAGAAAGAATGCCCTCTGGGTTCTAAAAAAACTGTAGAAAAGAAATCCGAGATAGCCAACACTTCTCCCTATATTTCACCCTCCTAGAGTTTATCTACAGAGGGAGGGCATCTGTGCATAGACAGGGTAAGCGAGCCTGACATTGAGGGAGTCGTTGTGTTGGACGAGGGAGGTATGCTGGTAATGAAGAACTAATTCTTTAAGGGAGCTATATAGGTTATATGGCTCTGCAAACCCATAACCTCTTGGAGTGCTGTAGATCACACAGTGTTTAACTTCCCCATCAGCTCTGTAAAGAAAAGAATAATACATTTAGCATAATGATCAACTACATAGACAATTACAATCAATGAAATACTGAAGAACTGTGATGGACTAACAGCAAGAAAGAACACTGAACAGTTGTGAGTGCAGAAAAGAGGTATTTTGTAGAGTTTTGATGAAGTTACAAGATGGTAACTTAATTAAAACACACACACAGACTTCAGCTCAGTGGCATTTAGGGTTCCAGTGCTCTTACTGAGCAGTTTAAGTGCAAAAGAAACCCAGACAGGATAACATAGGACAGCATTTCACTAAAATCTAGTACCAATGCATTCAGATCCATCATCCACCTTAAACAGAAGAAAAGAAGAAGAGATTGGATATAGACCTTGCCCTTCACTTGGAGTCTCAGAGCAGCTTACAACTCCTTTCCCTTCCCCTCCCCACAACAGACACCCTGTGAGGTAGGTGGGGCTGAGAGACCTCTTTCCAGAACTGCTCTTTCAGGAACAGCTCTGACAGAACTATGACTTGCTCAAGGTCATCCAGCAGCTTCAAGTGGAAGAGTGGGGAATCAAACCCGGTTCTCCCAGATTAGAGTCCACGCACTTAACCACTACACCAAACTGGTTCTCTACCTGGGCAAAGCATTTTCTGAATTTGATACAGGTTATCCATAACCTAGGGAAATGTAGAATATTATCCGACTACTATAATCATGTTACATGAAAAAGATTTTAATTTGATTGACTGCAAACCACAGGCAATAGCTATAACAAAAAGCTGACTTTGCAATTATGTCTCTTTTGTTTTGCGGATAATGATTAAGATAGCGTGTATCTTAGCCCATGTCAGCATTTACAATTTAAAGGAACTTGCTCATTCCAAGACAGACCAATGGCTCATATGGCTTAGGGTTCAAGAAGGCTCTCAGAGCACTGTTACCCTTAATATTTTAGCTGAAGATGTTGAGGCCTTAGACATAATATAGAACTTTTACATACTGTACCCAAACAGGTCATCTAATAAGGTTTCAAATCTTTCACTTAAGTACCACCTCTCCCTGAGGACTAAGTAACTACTGGATTTGAAAACAACAGCAGACTAGAAGACAAGATTCTTCCAAATAGTTGACTGGGAAAATAAAAACATTTTAAAATCCATATGCCGACTGAACATTATTTAAGCTTGTAACACTTTAGCCTACTAATTGATTCCATAAAACATACTCTCTTTTCTCCTAAGGGTCATTCTCAATATTATCTCCATCTTTAAGACAAGATTAAGGACATAGCCTACAAATAGCTAAAAGCATATGCCTCTCTAACATATTAACAGTTAGATATGTCAGCACTGCATTCCCAAGCTGGTCTACCATCTTGGAATCTAACCTCAGAATCATATGCACTAAGGGACTGAGAGGAAGGATAGAATAACTACTGTCTCCTTACAATGGTTTAATCCTTTCAGTATCAGTGGGACTAGACCAGGAAAACAGCAAGTGTACTGACAACATTGGGATGTCTTCAGCTTCCTAAAGGCTAGCCTAAGGTTTTTATTATATTCCTATCTGCATGTTTCGTTCTCCACATTAGAGAATTTCTTGGAAGAGACCAAGGCAACGAAATTAATCAAGCCATGCAATCCAATCCTGTATATTCTTATTCTGAAGTAATGTCTATCAAGTTTAATGGGGCTTACTCCTGTGAGTTCACATAGGTTTATAGCCGCAAGGAAATTCAGAGATAACTACTTACACCACAGAACAGGCATAACAGCCTTTTTTGCTACTTTCACGAATTAAGAATGCTCCATCAGGTTTCCCACCAAGCAAATCTTCTGCTTGAATACGATTGATATCTCCAACAAACCAAGTCTTTTCATCATAATGTGGCAGATTTTCATCTTCCTCATTTGTAAAGTATGTACTAGGAAAAAACAAATGTTATTTTCTTAATGCAGGAACATTTCTATGCTAAACAATGGAAGAGGCCTATATACAAAGCAGCATATTAACACTGCCACAGCTAAGAGCCAGTACAGCACAGCATTTAATGTGCTGGACTGGACTATTGTCCATGCATTATTATTTAATCTAACCTACTTCACATGATTTATGTGAGGATAAAATGGAACAGGGAAGAACCATATGACAATGAGCTCCTTGGAGGAAAGACAAAAAAAATTCACTTAGGAATGCATACAAGACCAAGGCTTGGAGTAGTTATTAGCTGTTCTGCCATACACTGAATAACATTTAAACAACAGTATCATACACAAAACTATTTACTATTGTTTATATACCTTCTATAATTCCTTTAACGCTTCCTGTCCACAACCAGCTTTATTACTGTGACATATAGTTAAAGTTGTCCTGAATAATTTGGCCAAGAAAAATAAAACTACCATTGGTGCTATTTGGTCATGTATATAGATATGAATTTTATGACATAATCTTCTGATAAAAAGTAGTACACGTTTATTTGGGAACAACATATATAAACCAGGAGTGTCGAACTCCTTTGTTATGTGGGGTGGATCTGATAAAAATGAGACCTTGTTGGGCTGGGCCATGTGTGTCATAAAATGTAATGCCAGGTAGTGGAGATATAAACTTTTTAAACGACATAAACACAAAGGGTTTTTTTAAAAAAACTTAAAATAAGAACATGCTTCAAACATTAGCACTCTTGCAATATTTTGTTTATTTAACAGTGTCTGATAACTGACACCTCTTGGTCTGAATTATTACATCAAAATGTCTGTGCTGTTGCAATCTTGAGTCTGCTGTTCAGGTGTGTATCTGCAAGCTGTAAACCTACAATGACACACTGGAATAACTGGAAGAAGCAGAAGACAGCCAGTTCCACTGCGGGCCTCATACAAGCCCTCCGGGGGCCTGATCCGGCCCCTGGGCTGCATGTTTGACACCCCTGATATAAACTAACACAAAATTGTAGGTTCTTGTGATGCAATTGCTCTACAGTTTGGTCATTCATATTGTTAAAAAAATCATAACAGTTTAGGACACTTACTCGTCAATATTTTCATTTTTGATTCCCAGCCAGTTGTTTATTCGCTTCTGTCTCACTCCTTTGTGATTAAGCCAGCTGCCGATTAGATATTACATATGTAATTAATGAGCTCTAGAAACAAGGTGCTCAAATACTCACAAAATACCTGAGCTAAAGAAGGAACATGCCTAAGGACACATCTTCTATATGCACACTGGCTGGCATTCTAACCTTACTGGCCAACCTTAGCACAGAAAAGATGTATAGTTTTCATTCACATTGCCTCCCCACTCCCGACAATATGTGGGCACAGCAAGAGGAGCCGCCTATTGTAATTCACCTGATCAATCATACCTCAATTGCATTTTAGGAGGCAGAGAGTTGGAACACTACTTTAGAAAGGCAATACATCACAAAAGGTCCGGTTTAATTATCTACTCTGAATCTGTTCATCGGATAACATAGATTTCAGATAGGCTGCCGTTCGCTTCAAAGTTAAAGGGGATATTTTGCTGGAGCCAGAACTGTACCATACCAAGCATGCTTTAGATCAGAGTTATTAATAAGCCATGCAGTTTTTATATGAGTGCTGAAAAGGCTAGCCATCTGTTGAAGTCCTTCTATGTCAATGGGCTAAGCTTCCCTTCCATTAATATACTTGCATTCAGTATTTAAAGAAAAGTTCCATTACAGTGCAGAAATGTAATGTTGGCCACTTAATAACCAACTGTCAGCTTCTTATCCCATGCCTACTTACACAAGGTACTGATCTCTGATTTTGCGCAGCTGGATAAGATCAGGTTTGATACTGTTCATTTTCTTATCGACTTCCCGGTTGTCCAGGGCTTGCTTCTTCAAATCTTGTTCCAATCGCAGCTTGCTATCATGGATCTCACCCAGACGTGATTTCAATTTTTCATAATTCATCATAATACTGTAAGAAATAATTATAGTTTACATATTTCATACTAAGGATATCAGACTACTGCTAAGATAGGGCACAATATTCACAGATTTTCTAATACTACACAAGTAGTGGTACAGGCACTGCGGTGAACTCATGACACCGTCCCTATCCAGAGGTCTTACAGCCTAAGGGGACATCCACATGAGAGCTTCCTCCACTTTAGCACTAAACCACGAGTGCAGAATAATCACCTTGGAAAAACAGGTGTATAATACATCACAGGAGAATTCAGCACCAAACACTGCACCATGGATAGTCCAGACAAGACAGATATTCCAGCTGTAATGTAGATGGGACATGTGGACTGTGGTAACTGGATTCATTCAGCAGATATGATCACAGAATCCTGCACCATATACACTTTCAGTTAGGTGGCCAGGGAAGTCTCCTTTCCTTGAATAATGCATAGATACTGGAAGTAGAACTCACTAGATACTAAAGGTATACCCAATTTCAGATAACTGGGAAGAATAAGTTGTTCTACTTAACTCTCATCAGAACTGAACCTCTGCAGTTTCAAATTTATCAGTGAGACTGTGCAAGCAATTAACAGGTTGTACAAGCATGGTCCTTCACATTTCAGCATTGATCTTGCTAAGAATATGCACTACCAGCAACTTTTACTGTCATTATTGGGGCAATCCTAAACAGAGTAACACCTTTCTAAGCCCACTGCCATTAACTGTGCTTAGAATTACACTGTAAAGTAAGCGTCCTTACTAGAGTTTGAGAGATCTTTTTGAGGTGGAGTCTTTTGGAGCTCTTCAGCCTACTTCAGACTGTACTATCTTAAGTAATTTACCATTTGTTACATCCCTTAAAAGAGCAAATAATTGCTGTATTCAAAATCTGATGTGATTAGCTGCTACTTAATTCAACAGAATATCAGAAAATGTACAGTCAAGTCTCCTTGTGTGATTCATAAATTGTAGAAACTTTACTTCCATTGCAAAGGTCTTAATTATACACTATTGATACAGCCGATTACTGTTAAGTATTACTTGATAAAGATATTTTGGGGCTAGATGGAAGTAGATATAATTATGGCGATGTCCAGTAACGATACTAGAACAGATCTGTCAATAAATGTGGCATTTTGGCAGACCTTACCGTTCAATTTCCTTTTCATTCCCTTCTTTTCGGAATCTTTCAATGTATTCTTTGCTATACTGCTCTTGGGTGTGACACTGTTCTTCAAATATTTTAATTGTTTCATTAAAAGCTTCTATTGCTGTTCTCTTCATCTGAATTTCCTGCACAGAGAAATCAATTTCAGAGACCACTGTTAGTTACTGGGAGCACAAAGTTTCTGAACAGCATGCTGCCTTTCTATTTCCCTTTTAGCTTGAGATTCTGATTCTAGATTGTAAACTGGAAGCTACAAAGTTAAGCTTGCAGGAGCTTCTAGCTAGCTAGCTACTTTTATTTTTTCTCAAGGCAAACCAAAACAACAGCTTAAATACTTTTGAGTATGCAGAATTGAATGAATTTAGTCCCAGTCATCACAATTCCTTTCCCTAGATTTAACAGCTATTAGCTATTCACCCACAATTTCTCTGTCTCTCACACATAAAAAAACAAAATGTGAGAATGAAAGTCTTGACATGGTGGAACTCTCTGCCAACTTCCATCAGGGCCTGCAGGACTTAATGCAATTGTAAGGCAGAGATGTTCCGCCAAGCTTTTGGTTGAGGACAGCAATGGTTTTCCATCACAGCTGGCATCCTCTTTTCTTCCATTCTGCCTGCTTTGGTCTCCTCCTCAACCTGCCCATGAGATAGAAGAACAGCCCAGAGTAGGTTTTGGATTAAATTATGGATACCATCTGGAGAATATTAAATTAGGGTTAACTCACTGTTGATTTTAATATGTAATTTTATATTGTTTTTAACCTGCTGTAAATCGCCCAGAGCCTTGTGTACTCAGGGACTGGGCAATCCAGAAATTTAATAAATAATAATAATAAATAATATGAGCTAGGGAGTCTACTTGATCTGGACAGTAAGGGAATTTGTGTTCCCCTGCAGGAATTCTATTATATCTTCCTTGCACCTCAGCTGAGTTGTTACACCTTGCCAACAGAAAAGCTTGTCTAAACGTATGAATTTCTAATCAGCAGAAATAGTCTGGTAAGTAAAAATTACCACTAAAGGGTATCCGGAAGAAGAGTGGAGAACATTTATGATTTGTGTCCTTGAGCACCAAGGAACAGTCTTCATTTAAGCCCTTATTTTGAAACTTTTTACAGCTTACTTTCCTAGTACTGCACCTTGCAGCCTTCAGTCGCTCTATGGGGAAGGAAAGTCTTTTATCTAAATTCCTACTCCAGGTGGACAGAGGTATCTGAAATTAACAACTGAAACAAAGCAGATTTTATATTGTTTTTAACCTGCTGTAAATCGCCCAGAGCCTTGTGTACTCAGGGACTGGGCAATCCAGAAATTTAATAAATAATAATAATAAATAATATGAGCTAGGGAGTCTACTTGATCTGGACAGTAAGGGAATTTGTGTTCCCCTGCAGGAATTCTATTATATCTTCCTTGCACCTCAGCTGAGTTGTTACACCTTGCCAACAGAAAAGCTTGTCTAAACGTATGAATTTCTAATCAGCAGAAATAGTCTGGTAAGTAAAAATTACCACTAAAGGGTATCCGGAAGAAGAGTGGAGAACATTTATGATTTGTGTCCTTGAGCACCAAGGAACAGTCTTCATTTAAGCCCTTATTTTGAAACTTTTTACAGCTTACTTTCCTAGTACTGCACCTTGCAGCCTTCAGTCGCTCTATGGGGAAGGAAAGTCTTTTATCTAAATTCCTACTCCAGGTGGACAGAGGTATCTGAAATTAACAACTGAAACAAAGCAGTTGGCTCAGAAAGGAAAAACTGGAATTCAATGTTCCTGTAGGCTAACGTCCAGGATTGCACACTCAGAATGATATTCAAAATTTGTAATGATGCCATTCAACAAAAAGGCTACTCAAAATATATGTCTGGGGGAAGAAACAAGATTCCCAATCTTATGTTGACCAGTTGTACAAATTAGGGGCACAATTTGAAAAAATGGGTCAGTGGAGAGTTCTTTGATTAACCCTTTCTTCCAGCTGGTTTTCTTCTGTAGTTCTCCCAGCTTCTTGCTCTGGGTCTCAACCCTGAGAAATCAGGTTTTCAGTAGAAGGGAAAAAATACTGAACAAAGAAGCTTAGGAATCCTCTGCTACACTTTCATGACCTGATCCTCCTTTGCATGATGAAAGCAAACAGGTTTAGAAGTTGCAGGTTTTCTGACAAGTGCCCAATTCTGGCCTTCATGACCATGAGAAAACATAATCCCCTGCCTCGGCAGGGAGGGTGGGATAGAAATGGAATTCAATAAATAAATAAATGGTAACTGACCTGTGAGGTTCTGGTATATTCTTCATATAACCTGTCATACTCTTTACTTTTCTCTTGATATTGACTGTGGTATTCCTGCAGCTTTTTGCCCACAGCATCAATATTATCTTCTTTCACCAACTGGTCCTGCATATGTCATAAATAGAAAAAAGGAAAACTTTCAACAAAAAACAACTGATCTGCCTGAAAAGCTACCACAATGAAAAAGTATTAACCCAATCTTCTTAAGGCTGAACAACAAAGCCTCTCTACCTACAAACTTATTTGATTCCTCCGGGGCCATACATCTGCCAAAACAGTTTTTACCCAGCTTTTGAACACTGACTATTCTAGTTACTCAGAAAACACACATAAATGTTTGAGAATCGCAGTTGGACCTTGTATAAACTAGTGCTTGCAACTGGATGCCCAACATTAAACCCTTGATACTTTTGGCCAGCAAAATTTACTTTACAGAGCATGTTAGGCTTTCAATACCATAATGCTTACCCTATGGAAATATTTGTACTTGGTTATCTTTGTAGAATCTGTAAATACACGTTTTAAAACTTTTAAACTGTATTGTTCAAACAGGCCAAATGGTCTAGAAACTCATAGGCACTACTTTTGGCCTAAGTGTCCCAAATCCAACATCTACTTGAGAAGATGATTGTGTACTGGCAAATGGGAGAGGGTTGTGCTTTTCCAGATACACTGGGAACAACTTGATTACCAGTGGTGCTACCACCACCTCAGGAGGTCACTTTGAACCTATAGGCAGAAGACTAGCTCTGCATGCTGAGAAAAATGGTTTGGTGTGCTGCTGTTGGGCATGCATGCCAGGAGTTGCCTATCTCGTGGATATCCTATTTTGTACAGTAGTTACACATTTTCTACATCGCACTGAAACATGAAACTGGTGTTTTAGTGAGTAAGGCTAGTGAACCACCATGATGAGAATGTTAATCGATATAGACGTGACAGCATTTAACTTCAGACTTGAAGATATTTATACACAAACTATCTCTAGAACAAACCATCATTTAAGAAAGCCCTATAAGAACATTTGCATTTAATACTAGCACTGGGTTCTCACCTGTTGATATCTAGACACAGGATACATCAGCTTCACATCAAGCTTAGGGTTATACTGGGCAAGAGACTCATGGCGATAGTGGTTAATCAGCTCCACAACAGAACAAAATGTCAGTGGATCAGAAAAACCATATTTTCCATCTCGATGATAAATTTTTATCAATTTATTGTTGCCGCCTTTTCTGCAAGGGAATCATAAGAGACTTCATTGATCACTGATCATATGTGCAACTGTGTATAAAACTAATACATAACACTGTAACTATACTAAAACTCTGAAGTCCTGCACTACCAGTATTGTGAGCAATACTGTGATTTGAATTTTCAATCAAATTACACTCTAAGTATAGTTGCCTTATTACTCTAGAAGCTTTTTCATTAAAAGTGAGAATGACCCTTTCCTGGAGGTATCTTTGGCCTTTTGGCACATCATTTGGTTCAGTTACCTCGCCATTACTCATATGTTTCCTCAGAATCTCATGCCAAATAATAATGAAGGGGCTTCTAATATGCTAAAATCAAATTGCTTGTTCTTGTTTCTACAAATATATCTGTTCTTTTGGATTCCAACCTTAAAATTAGTTATGACACAGGAGAATATTTAGACTTATCACATTCTCAGATTTAATTTCACAGTACCATACTTTGCTCGAAAAACCAGTACTTCTGGAAAAAGCAAACATCAGAACACTTTTCCACATCTTTTAAACATATGGTTCTTGCACATTTAAGTATATAACAAGTAAGAAAAACAGGTTGCTTACCTGTAACTGATGATCTCTGAGTGGTCATCTGTGCAGTTACACACATGGGTTCTGCGCCTGCGTTCAAACCCGACCTCAGAGAACAAGAGCTAGCCTCTAGATTTGGCACGCTTCCTTCCCGCGCTCTGGGGAGCAGACACCAATTGCGCATGTCTGGAGTGGGGAAGGAAACGCCCTCCCACTCAGTTTCTTCCGCCGCTAGAAAATCAAAAAAAACCCCAGCAAAAATGTGAGAGATGCCAGCAGTGGGGAAGGCTGGGTGGGCGTGTGTGACTGCACAGATGACCACTCAAAGATCATCAGTTACAGGTAAGGAACCTGTTTTATCTTCTTCGTGGTCTCTGTGCAGTCCCACACATGGGTGTTTGGCAAGCTTCACTAGTAGGATGGCAGGTGCTAGTGGCTCCACAGCAGAGAACAAACCCACCACACAGTGAAAGAAGGGAAGAAGGTATAGGATCAGACACCCATACTAGCCTACCTGATTGGAGAAGGACGCCAGCCATCAGTGGAAGATGGACCACAGCACTGATTGGCCGAAAGATGCATCACATCCTGGCTGAACGTCAAGGGCATAATGCGTCACAAAAGTCGTTTGTGAGGACCACGTGGCAGCAGTGCAAATGTCCTCCAGAGGAACGCCCTCGAGAAAGGCTGATGACACAGAGACAGCCCTAGTCGAGTGGGATTTCAGTGTGACAGGTAAGGGTTGTTTCGCCAACACATAACAGAGTGAGATAGTCGAGGTGATCCATTTTAATAAACACTGAGAAGAGATTTTATGTCCCAGACGGGGCTTGCTGTAATCCATGAATGAATGAGGATCTTGGCAAAAGGGAGACATTCTAGAAAGACAGAAGGAGAGTGCTCTGCGGACGTCTAGCGTGTGAAGAGCCCTCTGAACATCATCTGTTGGATTGGCAAAGAAAGTGGGTAGCACGATAGGTTGGGACAAGTGAAAATCTGACAGTACCTTAGGCAGAAAAGTAGGGTCAGTCCAAAGAACCACCTTGTCCTTGTGGAAAATGGTGTATGGAAGACCGGCTCGTAAAGCACATAAGTTACTCGCTCTCTTAGCAGAGGTGACGGCTACTAGGAAGGCTAACTTCCAAGAAAGAAGGTGCAGAGGTACAGTTGTGAGAGGCTCAAACGGTTTGCCCATGAGTTTGGAGAGGACAAAAGACAAGCTCCAGGCTGGAACAAGTGGTTTGACTGGAGGATTTAGAGACATTATGGGAGAAAATGGTTCTTCCCTCAATAAAATCATGAAATGCAGATAGGTGAACTTTCAATGAGGAATAGCTCAGGCCGGATTGATAAAGAGAGACTAAATCGCAGATAGGTGAACTTTCAATGAGGAAAAGCTCAGGCCGGATTGATAAAGAGAGACTAAACAGGTGAGGATCACAGGTAAGGGTGCAGCTTTTGGGTCCTCTCCCTAACTGGTGGCATAAGAAACAAAACGTCGCCACTTTGCCTGGTAAGAATGATGAGTAGCTGGCATCTAGGAAGACATGCTGAACCTCTGGTAGGAAGGTTAGGTTGTTATTTGCCATGTGGTCAGCTTGAGAAAACTAGGGTTGTGATGGAGGATTTGGCCGTGATGTTGAGAGTGTAGATCTGATGCCGGTGGAAAATGTTGGTAGACTGCACGAGACAACTTCAGCAGACTCGCAAACCAAGGTTGCTTCGGCCACCATGGTGTTATTAAGATGCAGTCTGAACAATCCTGGGTGATCTTTTGTATCATCCTGGTAATGAGTGGAAATGGGGGAAACATACAGAGAAGATGCCCCATCCATTGGTGCAGGAATGCATCTCCCCATGAGGTCCCTGATGGGAGGGCCTCGACTGTAGAAGGTTGGACCCTTCACAATGTCCTGTGCAGCAAAAATATCTATTTCAGGGCACCTGAAGTCATGGAAAATGGGCTGCAGATAGCGAGGATTCAGTGACCACTCATGTTTGACCGACTGTGTCTGGCTGAGAAGATCTACTTGGGAGTTCTCTATGCCTGGCAAATGAACTGCCGTAAGGTCGATGCCCTGCATCTTGCACCAATGCCACAAAGCCATGGCTTTCCTGCAGAGTTATGTGGACACTGTCCCACCCGGCTTGTTTATATAGTAGACTGGGGCCATGTTGCCCGATGTGATCTGTACATGGCGGTCACGCAGAGTAGGCAGGAAGGAACGAAGGGCCTGATGTACCACCATGAGCTCCAGGCAATTGATGTGTTGGGACTGTTCTGACATGGACCATTGACCCTGAGCCATTAGAGCCCCACAGTGTGCTCCCCAACCCCACAATGAGGCGTTGGTGGTGAGAATGGTGCTCGGAGGAGGGAATTGGAACAGCATTCCAGTCAGCAAGTTCTCCACCAGGGTCCACCACTGAAGGGTTGATAGAACACTGGGTGGCACCGTAAGAAGCAACATTTGATGCAGGTGAAGGGGGTTGAAGGCATGAATGAGCCACAGTTAAAATGGCTGCATGTGAAGCCTGGCATACAGTAGCACATTGGTGGTCGCAGTACAGCCAGCACTAAAAAGCACAGGATGGAGGTCCTGTCCACTGGGAGGAAGGCATGTTGAAGGAGAGTGCAAAGTTGCTTCCTTACAAACTGTAGATCCTGGACGGGGGTCAAGTGGGACTTGGAGAGGTTCACACAGAGACCCAAGGATGCCAGGAGCCGGAGTGTGGTGACTACATCTCGACAAAGTTGATGCTGGGAATGGGAGACTATCAGCCAGTCATTGATGTAGAGAAAAACAGTTATCCTGCATTGTCTGAGGAAAGCAACAACCACCGCCATGCATTTTGTGAAGACTCTTGGTGCTGTCGAAAGTCCGAAGGGAGCACTTGGTATTGGTAGTCGTGTGCTCCCACTGTGAATCTCAGAAAACGGTAGTGTTGAGGACAAACAGTGATGTGAAAGTAAGCATCCTGTAAGTTGAGGGATGCTAACCAGGCACCCGTGGGGATCAGGGGGAGGATAGACTGAAGAGTAATCATTCGAAACTTTTTGTGTGTGATATAGTGGTTGAGTTGTCGCACGTCCATAATGGGATGTTTGATTCCACCCCATTTTGGAATTATAAAATATTGGGAATAGAATCCCTTGTGATGTTGAGATTGAGAAACGTGTTCTATAGCTCCTTTGGCCAGGCGAGTTTAAACTTCCTTTTGAAGGAGACTGGAGGGAGGAGTCACCACAAAATGAGGGACCTGCGGGGTCGAAAGAAACTTGATGGTGTATCCTAGGCGAATGATGGTCTCTGTGGTGATGGATTTCCAGGTGTCGATGAAAGGGCATAGTCTGGTTTCCCAAGCAGGTGCAACCAATGGAGGATGAAAAGGACTGCGTGGGGGGGGGGAGTCAAAGAGACTGTTTCACAGGAGGTGTTGCCTTCTTGGAGGAGGGAGCTCTGGGCTTCTGGTGGTATGGCTGTTTAGCTGAGGAAGCCCTGTGCTTCCAGTAGTCTGACTGATGGGGAGACCTGGAGCATTTGGGGCTGCTGGGCTTCCAAGTTTTGAATCGGGGAGCCCGTGGTTGGGAGAACTGTGATACTCCCAAATGGTGAGCTCTCTTACGGCTGTCATCTATGTTGGTGAGTCTCATTCGTGGAGGCATGGAACAAGCCTTCCCCATCAAAGGGTAGATTTTCCACCTTTGATTTTATATCAGGTTGCAGGATGGGAGAACTCAGCCAGGTGTGCTGAGGGTGATTGAAGTAGCCATGGCATTTGATGAGCAGGATACTGCATGGTGGACAGTACTGATTTGTTGCTTTGTTAATTTGGACAATTTGTTGATGAGAGTAGCAGCAGTTTTCTGGGAAGCCTCAGGTAGTTCGGCAACCAAAGTGGACAGTTGGTTTGTCAGGTGAAAGGAATAAGCACAAAAATAGGCTAAGTAGTTATGAATCTTGGCTGTCATGGTGGTGTCCAGTTTACGTCCTTCTCGGTCTGGTGGTGGAGGGTGTCGTATTTGCTTGGATTTGGATGTAGAGTGCACTATGACTGAGTTCGGTGCTGGGTGTGAGAAAAGGAACTTTGAATCTGACAGTTGTACTCAGTATAGAGAATCAAGATGCTTTGATGTCGGTGGGATAGAAGCGGGTTTGTCCCATGCCTGTCGGAGGACATCTAGGTGAACTGGGAGCATGGGGAGCAAGGACGCTGCTGGAAAGTTCAATTGCACTAACTTATGGACCAGGTTTGTAACCGTTGGCGCGTCACTAGCGAGTTGGATGTTCAATGCAGTAGCCATGCGAATTACCAGTTCGAGGTAAGCTTTGGATCTCTCCAAGGGTGATAGAGAATCCAAGTGAACTATGTCTGAATCCGGGGAAGTGTGAAGGGAATCATCTGCCTCTGAATTGGACCCCTTGGACCCGATGTCTGACAGTTCCGAGGCAGAAGTCTGACGGCCGAGGTTATCTGGTGGTGCAGCTGACGTTGGTATCGGAGGATCTGTTGGTGTGTTGGTTGGAGGCCCAGGGGGGAGGGGGCAGCAGCAATAGCTGTCGGAGGAGCTGAAGGTGGCTTTATGACAATAGGAGCATCCGGTGGGCCAAACACCAGGGGTCGTTGGACCCAAGAAAGACGCACGCAGAATTCTTCCAATGGGTACGGTGAATAAGGGCATGAACCGGCCGTCGCTGGGAGGGTGGGGTATAAATTTAACGAATAAATAAATAAATAAAAGAATAGGGATCTCGATCTTGGATGGAGATCTGTAATGCTCCTGGAGGGATCAGGGAAAACACTCTTGCAGAGAGGGAGATTGTGACTCTGACGAGTACCTAGAGTAGCCCTCATAGGGAACAGTGTAGTAAGCTGGAGCTTAATGGAAACAGTACTCGTTTTGGGATCGGGATCGACTCCGATGGAATCAGCATGGGGGAGACAGCTGTGGCAGCTCAGTAGGTTGTGAAGGTCTGTCCTGATGAGCAGGATCGGCTTCGAGGAAGTCTGACAGCAGATAGTTGCACACAGATGGGATTGACAACAGTATGACTGCAGGGATGGAGTCCTGTGTGTTCAAGGTTGTGGTTTCCGAAGGTTGCACTGAGACCGGGGTTGATTTCAGGATCGTTGCAGGCGTTGGTACCGACCAGTCCTTCAACTTGTGCGACTTCTTCGGTTTCTGCACATCTGGAGACGAAGCTGAGAGTCTCTTGGACTGTTTGTCAGTCTTACGCTTTGGGGCCATCGAGGCTGAAGATGTTCCCGACTTGGCTGAATCTCCGCTCTGAGTTGGGGGAGGTGGCGAGGGTCTAGAACTCAAGGACATTGCTGGGCGCAGGGAGGCCTCCAAGAGGTGGCTCTTCAGCCTCGCAGCTATGTTCTTTTGAGCCTGTTTTGTAAAGTTACTGCAGTGGATGCGGGAGTCTGGTTTGTGAGCCTCACCCAAGCAGAAAGGACAGAGGGAATTCCATCAGTAGGAGGGATTTTCCCCTCACAATTTTGACATTTAAAGCGGGTCTTCCCTTCCATGCGCCACCATCAAGGGCCAGGGGGGAGGAGAAGGGGGGAAGATGACAAGAGGAGAAAAACTCAAGGAAAATTCTTTTTTTTTTTTGGTAGGAACACTGACAACGGAGATGAAGACGATGATGAAGACTGTGAGATGAAGAAGAGGCCTAAGAAGCAGCTCAGTAGAAGGAACACAGCAAGGTAGGTCTAACCAGTGCGGCAGTTGAGAAGAAACTGAGTGGGAGGGCATTTTCTTCCCCACTCCAGACATAGGAAATTGGTGTCTGTTCCCCAGAGTGCAGGAAGGAAGCGCACCAAATCTAGAGGCTAGCTCTTGTAGTTCTCCGAGGTTGGGTTTGAGCACAGGCGCAGAACCCATGCGTGGGACTGCACAGAGACCACAAAAAGATCAAAGAAGAGATTGTGCAAGCCATAAATTCTCTTCTGATCCTCTTTCCAGTAGAACCCTATGGATGACATATTGTCTAAACTGGATGTCTTGAGCATCCAATTTAAAGATCATTTTTTTGTGTGCGAACTGCAGTGTAACTGCACTATATCGTCATTTCCCTCAAAAGAACATTATATAAATATCTATTTGTATAAAGCCCATTTATATAATTGCTCCAGGCTTTCTATATGCCATCCATAGTCTATGTGACCAAGAAACAAAATGGAGAATGGAGCTACGCACATCGAATTACAGTTCTTAACAACTGGAATTACCAAGAACAGGAACATATTTAGTCCCTATCCCAATGGGGATCCCTTTTACTTTTTCCAGTAAGTAAATGGTTGCAATTTATTTCTAGAGTAAAGCTCTGCAATTGTGGAAAACACTGTGCTGTTAAAAACATTATCAACCATTCTGATACTGGATGGCACCCATGGCAAAGAAAGCTTTAGAATTGGTGGGGAAGGTTCAATATACTCTCTTCCATTTTCCACAAAGAGCTGGGTTTAGGAAGAAAAGATTCAAGCAGAACATGGCCTTTTTCATCCCCTGGAACTTGCTTTAAACAGAGAAAGCCAGTAATTCTCAGAATGCCCAATGCCATTGTAGATTCCAGTTTGTTTTGATGCAGAACAAGTTGCTCATTCTTAATAATGCATATCAAGGCCAAGTGAGAAACACTTAACAAGTTTTAAGACAATGAACACCTCAGCTGCAGCTAGTGTGAAAGTGATCATCCACATCTACAAATACAGCAATAAGTAGCAAATGCTACCCATAATCTGGGCAAGACAAAAAGGGGAATCCCGAATTATTTACCGCAGTGTCAGAGTATAGTCTCCCTGCTTCTTTGTTGATGCATCTCGCACCAGGAATGTTCCATCTGGCATATCTCGTAGTTTATCATTTACCTCTTCCCTGAAAGAATAAAAAGTTGTAAGATGGATAAAACAATGTTATGTTTAATGTGCCCTCATTCACAACAGCACTATTAATTCCTAAGATGTATAACAGGCCATTCCATCCTGCTTTTGAAATAATTGTGTTATTTGCTCTTTAAACTGTGTCTAAAACAGAGGATTTGTAGTCAAGCTTTATGGCTTCCTGAGATAGGTTAGAACTTTTTAAAACATTTAAACATCAAGCAGCCACATTTATAGACTTTTTCCTAAACTGTACCTAAACTGCGATGAGTGGCCATTGTGGATCGGGGAGGCTTGTACTCAAGGCTCTGCGTGTGCATGTCTGAGATCCCATATGTGTGATGTACAGAGACCACTGAGAAAAATGATCTGTTTCAATCTTTTTGCTTTGCACACAACATATTACTTTGCTCTAGGTTCACACTGATCTCAGCTATCTAGTTTATAACCCTCAAGTTAGCAAAACTCTAGAAATTTCTATTGACCAATTATTGTAGAAGCATCTAAGGTGGAAAGAAGAATATAGGTGCTATCTAAACAATAGCTTGTTTGTGTTGCATATACACAGTATTTTCATAAGTAATATTCAAATTGTCTGAGTTTCTCTGATATAATTTATGTGAACATATAATCATTAAAATAAAATACAAAGTGGAAGAGAATGATATGGAATGCAAATGAGAATTAAGATGCCTACAGATTTTTCATTTGCATTACAAACTGAATCAAGAACAAACTACTTTATGAGACTGAGGTTGGTTCCATTTGAACTTAATGTGATTTACATCAAGAGGTTAACCAGCAACAAATAAAGCTACTTTAAATCATGACTGAAACTATTTTTCCAGTTTTGCAGTTCATGTATTTCCTGATAAAGTGTACTAATTGCTGTGTAAGCAATTAAAGCATAATGATTTGTAACTAAATTGAGCCTTTATCTAGTTCCATCATTCAAACTGTGCAACCACTGATTTTTTTATCTGATTAGAAACAGGGAAGCAGTTATGACATTAAAGATTTGTGTTTGGATCTCTGCATGTTTGCACAAATTTGAATATTTTTCCTAGAATGACGATCTGGTGATCAGAGTAAATATTCGTAATTTGTGCAGCAAATAATACAACATATCTATAATCCTTGATCTCAAAAGGAAGCTTTTTGGTACTGGTTACATAGAAAAACAAGGTTTAACTCAATGCATTTGTGAAAAGATAACGGATTTAGTTTTAAGAGATTATGCAGACTTCAAGACGTTTGCATACCAGATTATTAAACACAAATTAAAAGTTAAAAATCTGATTTAGACAAAAAACAGCTCGTTGGCACTTACCATGAAGGGTCCTTCTCCTCTGAGGCTAGGAGGACATCTCTGTGGGTTATTCCCATTGTTTCCGCCCTTTTAGTTCTGGGACTCCGAAAGCAGTGAGCTCAACTCTAAGACCTGCATCTGCAATAACATACTAACATAATGTCAACTTTTAACCTGAAACTTTAACCAGGTTAAAGTGGCTTTGCGGGGAGGGTGGGGTATAAATTTGACAATAAATAAATAAATAAATAAATAAAAGGTAGAAGAGAAACAGCAGCACTAAGAGTAAGCTGACAAGAGAAAGACAGGAGGGTCGAGATGTCCTCCTAACCTCAGAGGAGAAGGACCCTTCACGGTAAGTGCCAATGGGCCGTTCTCCCTCTGAGGTGGAGAACATCTCTGTGGGACCTCCCAGAGCAGTGTCCCCCAGAGGGGTGGGTCCTTGTTGTCAGCTGATGTGCTGCAAGACTCTTCTTCCAAGAGCTGCGTCAGCTGAAGCCACGGTGTGTAGCCTGTAGTGATGAATAAATGTGGAAATTTAAGACCACATGGCTGCCCTGCAGTCCTCTTCCACAGATGCATGATTGAAAAAGGCTGTATTAGTTGAGGTGCTGTGGAGAGAATGAGCCGTGATGCCCCTGGGAACTTCCAGACCTGTGGCCCTGTACACCTCTGAAATGCATGACTTCAAAACTGCGCTGATGGATGCTCTGGACATCTGGACATCCTCCCTCCCTTCCTTGGGGGTGAAATGTTGATGAACAAGCAGTCCATTTTTCTGACAGATTCAGATCTAGTGATGTCGATCTTGAGAGCCCGTCTGACATCCAAAATATGCCACACAAACTCCTTGGGGTGTTTAGGCTGTGGGCAGAAGGTAGGTAGGTAAACTTCGGAAGGAATGTAGGCTCTGTCCTGAGGATCACCTTGTCTTTATGAAATATGCACAGATTACTCTTAATGGAGAATGTTCCAATCTCAGAGACCATACGGGCTGATGTTATAACCACCAAGAATAGTGTTTTCATACATAACCATCTGGCACCAACCTCTGTCAGAGGCTCAAATGGTGACTTGGTGAGGGCAGATAACATAGTGTGTAATCTCCATGTAGGAAACCAATCCACTTGAAGTGGAGCTTTGAGTGATGCACCCTGGAGGAACAACTGAACATGAGGATGCTTGGGTAACTTGTAACCCCCAATGAGAGAAATCACTGTGGATAGAGCTGCCGTCTGTCTGCGTAAGGTGGATGACTTGAGGCCCGAAAGCAAACCGTCCTGGAGGAAGGATAGAACTGAAGCTACCGAAGGACATAGATCTGTTTTCTTCCTTCTACACCACCTGACAAAGGCCTTCCAAGTTGCATTGTAAATGGTTGACTGTCTTCTGGAAGAAAGAATGGTGTCCGTCACCTCTGCGGAATAGACTAGTTGTCAAAGTTGGTTCCTTTCAAACACAGTCACGCTGGATGGGGATGCCAGACTGGTTCCTGAAGTAGCATGTCTGGAAACACCGGCAACGACAGAGGGGGATGAGTTGCCAGCTCCATTAGAGCCAAAAACCACAGTTGAGGAGCCTTTAGGATCAACTCGGGACTCTGCTCTCTCACCTTCTGGATGGTCCTGGGGATGAGAGGAAAGGGAGGAAAGGCAAACAGAAGTCCCTGAGGCCATGGAGACTCTACTACAACAGTTGCCTCCACTGCTGGATGGTATTTTGTGAAAAACCTCAGAAGTTGATGGTTTGAGGGAGACACAAAGAGGTCCACCAGAGGCATCCCCAGATTGTGGCAGATGATACGGAATATCCTGGGGTGCAGAGACCACTCCCCTTCTCAATAGTCTCTCTGATATGTTCTGATCATATAGAAATGATGTTCCTTTCAGCCCAGGCTTGAATTTTCATGGCTTCCCGACTGAACTGGGAAAACTTGGAGCCCCCTTGTTTGGTCAGATAAGTCTTTGCAGATACGTTGTCCATCCAGACCAACACGTGCTAGTGCAGGAGATCGCGACTGGAGTTGGGGCATGTCTGATGGCCCTGAGTTCCAGCAAATTGATGGGTAGAGATTGATCATCTGGGAGCCAATGACCCTGCGTTAGCACATTGTCCAAGAAGACTGGCATCCTTAATTATTTCCTTGGGAGAAATAATATTAAAGACCTTGGCCTGACGGAGATTGTTCAACTCTGTCCACCACACGAGACTGTTCTTGATTGCCAGAGGAGCCTGCAGACTCAAATTTCTCCTCTCCATGATGTGCCATTGATGGGGCCAAAGAAATTGCTGTAATGCCCTGGCATGTAGACAGCCCCATTGGACCATGTCCATGGATGATATTAGAAGACCCAGGAGCCGTGCCAGAGTTAGTAATGAGGACATATCACTTCGGACAACAAGCCTTGAGCAAGGGAAGAAACAGTGAGTTGGTAGTCATATCGATCACTACTCCCAGGTGTTCAGCCCTCAGATGGCTGAAAAGAAGGGTTCACAATGAAACCATGGTCCTGCAGGTAGCAGAGAGTCAACTGGGTGTCCCGGAGAGACTTGGCCAGTGTGTTGGACCTGATCAGAATATCATCCAGGTACGGGTGAACATGGATGCCTTGTTTCCTGAGATGGACGACTAGGCAGAGTAAAACCTTGAAGAAAACTCTTGGGGCCGTGGAGAGCCCAAATGGAAAGACCCGATATCGAAAGTGGCAGTCATTCACAGCAAACTATGGGAAGGATGAATAGGGACGTGGAGATAGGCGTCTGTGAGAGCTATCAACGTCAAGAAATCGCCCTGCTGGATGTTCTCTGTAATGGATCTCAACATCTCCAAGCGGAAGCGCTGCAGCTTGATTAATTTGTTGAGAAATTTGAGATCCAAGAGGGCTCTCCAGTTGCCATTTTTCTTCGGAACCATGAAGAGAATAGATGCCATGACCCCTTTAATTCTGAGGAACAGGCTTGATGGCCTGAATGTCGAGAAGATATTGAAGGACTGAATTGAATATGAGTTTTTTGTCAGCCTTCTTGGTCACTGGGGACTGAACAAATCTTTCTGGTGGGAGGTTCCAGAATTCGATGATGTATTACTGAGAAATCACGTCTCGAGTCCAGGAGTCCGCTTCAGAATCCTCCCAGCACGGAAGGAAGTGTAGAGGACGTGCTCCCATTGGAATGGACCTGGAGTCAAGCCTGCTTGGGTTTGTTGACACGGTCCACTCTGTTGTTTCTGTTGAAGTTGTGTTTGCTGAATTTGGAACCGGAAATACCTCTCTTGAATGAAGGTTTCGAGTTTTCCCAGTTGTTTTTCTTGGCATCAGAGCGAAAATGTGGCAGGGAGTGCTGGGTGCAAAAGGAATGGGATCGGCGCCTATCTGTGAGTTGAAGAGACCTAGGCATGGCCTTCTTTTTGTCATGTGTCTATCAATATCTTGTCCAGAGATTCCCCAAACAAATGGTCACCCTGTAAGGGGTAGGAGGCAACTAAACATTTGGACAAGAAATCTGCCTACCACACTCTGAGCCATAATAAGCCTCTGGTCACTGTGATAGAGGCCATGGCCTTGGAAGCATATGTCAAAATGTCCAATGATGCATCCGCTGAAAAGGAAGTGGCTTTAAGAATGCGACTGGCCCCTTCATTCTCCGGCAAAAGTTGGATCAGTTTATGTATCCAAACAATGGAGACTCTAGAGATTATAGATGTCATGGCAGAGGCTCTCAACATCATTACTACTGCTTCGTGTATCCTTTTAAGAGCTGCTTCTGCTTTCTTGTCCACTGCATCCCGAATGGTGCCATGGCCATCTTCAGAAAGCAGACCAGTAGATTGCAGTGCTGCCACTGGGCCATCCACTGGAGGTACCTGTAACAACTTATTAGCATAGTTAGGCAATGCGTAGAGCTTTTTAACAAAATGTGGAAACTGGTTATTAGCAGCTAGCTTGTCCCATTCAGACCTCAGCTGTCACTCAAAATATTCCGGAAAAGGAGAAACCTTTCCAAGTACTGTGTCAGAGAGAAAAAATTCAGCATCTCCAATGGATTTAGATTTTAATTTTCTCCCTGATGCCCTGGCATCCTCCTCAGGAGGAGAATCCTGGAGTCTTAAGGCTGCTAACACCTTGGTCAGCAAGAACTGGTAGTCCTCATCCTTTAAAAAACCTACTAGCCTGCTCAGGAACATTGGCTGGAATCTCCTCTTCATCAGATAGAAACTCCCCTTCCTCGTGTTCATCAGTCTCAGATTCTGAGGAGCCTGTACAAGATACCCCAGCCCTCTTCCTATGATGGGGAGCCTTCTGGGAAGCCTTAGTGGGTCAGGGACGACCGGGCTGGTTGGGAGAACCCTGAGGAGTGTTAAGAGGTGGCAAGGTTTTGGAGCCGAGCTCCACACTTGCAAAAAGGCCGCCAATTGTCAATGAGAGCCCCAGGGAAGCAGCGGGCTCCTCCAGCAAGCGGCGTCTCTTCGTCCTCCACTCTGCTGCTGCCAGCTCTTGATCTTCGCGGACGGCACAAACGAGCCGCAAAGGCAAGTTGGCCCTCCTGGTGGACTGCATGGGCACTGCTGTGGCGCACTGCTCAGCTTCTTCCTCCTCTGTTAAAAAGCTGTTGGAGTGCTCCATCGCTGCCATTGGGCCATTGGAAAAGGGCGGGAGCACTCAGAGAACAATCCTTGCTGCTCCCTGAGAGTAGGGAGTGAGGGAACGCAGAAGAGGACAGAGGAAGGTAGAAGGTAAAATGAATAAATATGAGTATAAGTACAGACTAGGGGGAAAAGGGAAGAAATACAGAATAGGAAACAATAAGAAACACTTTCCCCTCTTTTGTTTATTTGGATTTTGGAAATATTGCTGGCAAAAGTGAAAGAAGATATTCAAATAAAAGGCCTTAACCACTGAGGACATGTGTATAAATATAGAGCATTCACAGATGATGTTATGTTTATTGTTGAAAATCCACTAGTCAATTTACCCTTTTTGATGAAGAGAATAACAGACTTCGGAGAGCTGGCTGGCTTTTATGTAAATAAAAGCAAAACTAAAATGTTGTGCAAAAATATGATAAAAACCAAACAAGCAGACCTACAAGAACTGGTGCAATGTGAGGTAGTGAAAAAAACTAAGTATCTTGGTATAGACCTGACTATGACCTCTTTAAAAATAATTACGAGAAGCTATGGGTTAAGATATTGGATGACTTTAAGAGATGGGACAATATGAACTTATCTTTGCTGGGAAGAATCTCTGTGGTTAAAATGAATGTTTTACCACGGCTGATGTTTTTGTTTCAAACCATCCCGATACTGAAGGAAATAGAGGTCTTGAACAGATGGCAACGAGAATTATCAAAATTTGTTTGGGCAGGAAGAAAACCAAGAATTAAGATGAAGATACTATGTGATGCCAAAGAGAGGGGAGGTCTACAATTACCGAATCTGCGACTATATTATGAGGCGGTTTGTTTAACGTGGTTAGAACAATGGGTGACTTTGGATAACAAAAAACTATTAGCCTTGGAAGGACATGATTGCAGATTTGGTTGGCATGCGTACCTATGGTACGGAAAAACTAAAATGGACAAATTTTTTAAACATCATTTTGTAAGAAGATCTCTCTTTGGAGTATGGTCGAGATATA